ACCGGTCCGTGGCCCGATGGTTGGGGACCCCTGGTTTAGTATATTAAAAACAAATTAAGCATTTACTTTAGTCTCTAAAGGGTTATTCTTAGGTTTATATTTTGTGGGTTTAGGTTAAAAGATTTGTGGGGGAGACACTGGTGTAGAATAGGATCTTTTTAATTGTCAAACCAAAACTCTTGCAAAACAGATTCTCCTTAGCTTTAAAATTATAGAAACCTGATATAGATAAATATTATTTTAATCCTGATGGTCACAGGCTTGGCAGGAATAGGTGCCAAGTTTAAAGTAAGATAGGTTTGTGCTTGGCAAATTTCAGTGAGATGAGACCATCAAAAACAGATGTGAGTAACGATGATTCAGAGTTTACAGTATATAATTAGTCAGAAATCCACATGGATGGCCTTTGATGCAGATCTAACTGGGAGGTTGCTAGCTGTGAAGAAGTTCACCCTTCATTGTCTCTTTGGATTTTCCTGAATGTCATAAGACACATAGCTCTTTCTTATTTTCTCTGATTTTTCTTAAAGTCTTGAATGTTCTTTGATTGCTTCATCTTATGTAATTATGTTGCTTCTTTATACTGTCCTAGAATAAAGCCTGAAGCATTAATGTGAGTGACGTTACTGCTTCCAAATACAGAAAAATGTGTGACCTGACACACAGGGCTGGGTCAAAGCAATACAGCATTTATAAGCATGTAAGTTCTCATTTGTAACCTGACATAACATAGCTAGACCACTGGAAATAAGGAAGCCTAACCCTCCGGGAAAAAAACCAAAAACAAATTTAGCTCCTTAAATTTTTAACGCGTGTGTGAAAAATTAAAAATGAAACTTGTAAGTATATAGTCTACTACTGACCTAAAATTAGGGCACAAAGGAAGTGTGTTCATACTGAGGGAAAACTACAGGAGTGGCAGAACCTAGACTGCTTCATACCCTCTGGGAATGAAATTACTCTTCCATTTTTCAGAAGAATATATTTTCTATTGTATTCTATTAGGTTCTGTTCTGTTCCACTCCATCCCACCCAACCCCACCCCATCCAGTGGTGGTGTGCTACCGGTTCGGCTGAACCAGTAGTAAAAAAAAAAAAAGCCTCCGACGATCAGCTGAGAGGAAGGAAAAAAAGCCTCTGACAATCAGCTGAGAGGAGAAGGAAGAGAAAAGCGCAGGATCGGCCCTCCCACGCACCCCTGCGCTTTTCTCTTCTTTATCCTATCAGCTGATTGGCACTGCAGGCCTCAGCTGGTGTGGGGAAAGCTATGCGTGTGCGTGTTAGGCAAAGCACGCCCACCAAGCCACGCCCACCGAACCAGTGGTAAAACAATTTGAATCCCACCACCGATCCCATCCCATCCCACCCTATGACTCTATCATTCTATGTCATTTTGAAGCAAAATCAACAGCTGGCAGATGTGGAATGTTTGGAACAGTCATTTTTGTGAAAGAAAAGAAGGAAACAGACACCTTCACAAGAGGTTCTCCAATCACCATAGAGACTGGACATGTTTTCTCATCTTGGTGGGATGCATAGGCATCTGATGCCCACTGATCCACATAATCTTTTGGGGTGAAGAGACCACAGTCCACAATGCTGTTCCTTTCCTCAAACGGCTCACAAATGCCATCACCTTCGTGGACATAGCACAGGCTTGGTTCACCTGCAATAGCCAAAAGTATGCTAGGATGATAAATCTCAAATTTTATATCTATCATTTAGGTATAATCTTCCTCCTTTCTCCTCATGCCTGAAAGGTACATTTGCAAAAGTTAACTGTGAACAGAATGAAGAATTCGAAATTCCATAAATATTGATCCAGGAAAATTTGAGCGACATCCTTTTAAATGCCAATTATTTACACTGTTCTGATTTTGTTTTGTTTTTCTCCAAAATGGAAAGAAATTTAAAGAAAGCCATACAGGTAATCCTCAACTTATAACAGTTCATTTAGTGACTGTTCAAAGTTACAACAGCACTGAAAAAAGTGACATGACTTTTTCAAATATACGACCTTTGCATGTTGATATGATCAAAATTTGGATGCTTGGGAACTAGTTTATATTTACGACCGTTGCTGTGTCCCAAGGTTATGTGATCACTTTTTACGTGACTTCTGACTTCTGACAAGCAAAGTCAATGGGGAAGCCAAATTCATTTAACAACAGGGTTACTAACTTATCAACTTAACAACTGTGGCAAGACAGGTCGTAAATTGGGACAAAACTCACTTAACAAATGTCTCACTTAACAGCAGAAATTTGGGCTCAATTGTGGTCGTAAATCAAGGACTACCTGTACTCTTATGGGGAGGATAAATCAACTGCCTTCCTTAGAAACCAGTATCTTAGCTTAGACTTTTTTAAAAGTATTTAAAATGTACTCTTTATTCATGATCTTACTTTTTTCAGTTTTGAGGCGGAATATGATGTGCTAAATGAACAGCAAATATCTCCTAGTATCATGAGGAATACCCATAGCAAATTGTAGAGAGGCAGAGTTTGGTATAAAGAGAAGGGATGCTCGGAGCACATTCTTTGGAATGGCTGAATTCTAAGAAAGCTCATAAAACATCTTCCAACTTCAATGAATGACTAACAACACTGGCTCCACAAATTCCAAGGTAAATCACTGAGCCATATTGCCTTTTCACTGTTCTAAAGAGCTAAAAGCAATGGAATATTAAGATTCAACCTGTAGTAAAAATAGCAGAATGTCTAGGAACTGATTCTATTCTATTCTGTTCTGTTCTTTTCTGTCCTATGCTGTCCAGTGCCATCATCCCATCCAGTCCCCTCCCATTATGCTAATCTTCCTACCACTGTTGTATTTGCATGATTACAAAAATTGGTGTTTTTTTTAAAGCATTCTTTGTGTGCACCATATGACCTTTTGACTATATTGTCATAGCTGTATCAATTTGGATACCATAATGGAGGGATCTAAAGGAATCAAGATGGGCAACTTCATGTCAGGATCATAATTGATATGAAATTCAAATTCAAATTTAAATTTCTGAACTCTGCCAAATCTCAGATACAAGATTCAAAAATTTGTAGGTAAGTAAGACAAGGCTACAGCAAAATTAAAATAAAATGAATAGCAATGGGCTAATGTTTCTAGACTCACCAATACAGTGGTATCCTCTTTCTTGTTTACAGTTTCTAGAGCAACCATCCCCATCTAATAGGTTTCCATCATCGCATTCCTCTACAAGACTCCTAGGAAAATAATATTAGCATTCTTAACGTTTATATAATACTTAGAGCATTTGGAACTCATATGCATTATCTTTTTCACCTCCTTATCAAAGCGTCTCCAGGGAAGGACACAGCTGGCTGAACTACGGTATAAATTCCCATTTTAAAAAATCAATTTTATTCTCACAGAGAGGCAGAGCTAATATGGAACTATCCTAATTTGGGCCAGAAATCCTTTAAACAAGAATATTCTAAGGGTCTTCCAGAAGCACTGTGGGGAGAAGTGGGGAGTATTTCTGGAAAACAAACTGTCCGAGTACTGTAGCAGTCATTTTCAAAAATTGGAACTTACCTGCTTACTTGCCCATCCCCGCAGTAGGAAGAGCCATGGATATGGAACAGAGATGGGGAGGCTTCACTTACAGCAGCTCCTGCTACAGCCTGCACTTGGTACTGGTATCGCTGGCCTATTGTGACTTCCCTGGGGAAGAAAGTAAGCAGAATTATACTTTATTGAATGAAGCAAGCCATAGAGGGCAACTCTACGTTGCACAGTAGGAAAAAGCAGTTATGGTCCATAGATTCAAAGTACCCCATTTCCTCCAGTGACCTATTTCCACATTCTAAGGATACCTCATGTATCTATAAAACCTATCAGGCAGAAAAACTGTGGCTACTCAAAATGGAACTTTTCATGCAAGTAACACAGAGGAACTTAATAAATTGGTGTTTAAATTTTGTGTTTCTGCAATATCCCAAGAAGAAAATAGTTTACCGGTTTCGAATTTTGGAAGAAATTTGTCTTCCTGGAAAAATCTTACAGAATTTCTAGTCAGGGAGATAGAGAATGGCTTGCTTCCTACTGAAAAGGGGGAGAAGACTGGTCTTTTACAATGTGAGCCCAGAATTCCTTAACAAAGTAGAACAGTTGGAAATCCCTTCAAATCCTAACATTAACCTGGAATGTTCAGATGAAATCTTGCTTTTAGGGCCATTCCACTATCAGTCCTTCTAATTGGGGATCAAGATTTGCTAACTAGGATGCCATCTTAGACATTAAATGATGAAAGACATACTGGAGGAGATCCCATATCTGCAATAAAACCCAGTCCAACCATGTTGCTTTGCCAATGCACATTTTCATCCAGGAAAGTATATCTTTCGCAGTGTGAAAAAAGAGGTATGTTCCTCATTGAAGCAGCCTGAATGCTTCTAATTGACTTTGTAAAGTTTTGTTCTCTTTTTGCCTTTACAGACATCTCTTGGCCACTGTCTTGTCCTGGCATATAAACACATACTGTTTCTAGGTAGACATTAGGAAAACCAACCAGAGTTTATAGATGTCAGTGATATGTGATGATTGTTCATACAATCCCACTTTTGCTGTTTAGGCTTTCAAAGGGGTTTCTCAATCCAAAAGATTAGCAACTGCAGTGAATGTCTTAGGTTACTGACTGTTAACAACCAGAGAATAATGTCTACCATATCAAGTAATGAACAAGTGAAAAAGCTGCCGACATTACAATAGATGTGATACTTTATAAAACAGAATAGAAAACACTGCTGGGATTTCATATGATATTTTAAAATATTCCATTGAAACCATTACAGATCCTAGTACTCAGGCAAGATTAGTTGTTTTCTGGTTTGAACAAGAAATAATTAAAGGGAAAGCTACTGCTTTGGAATTTATATATGGCAAGGTACAATCTCTCTTCAATTTGCAGTAGCAATTTCCAGAGAGATATGCTGCTGTGTCAGGTGGAGGGAACTTTCTCTAAATTAACCAGGGATCCTTCTGAAGCGTAAGTCAGTAAATAATGTGATATAGAACTAATCAGGGGTGGGATACGACAGGGTTAACTACCGGTTCGGGATTTACGAGCTTCCCTGCATGATGTGAGCCGCAAACCTGTTAATCGTCATTAGCATGCTGCGTGGAGAAGCAGCCTTTGAAACAGCCCTCTTTTCTTGTTTTTTTAACTGCAGCTGTGCCTTGTTTGGCAGCTGAAGTTGAAAAATCAGGAAACAAAGATCAGGTAAGAGCCCGGGTGGGCAAAAACATCAGCAGACATAGAACCGGTTCTATGTCTGCTGCTCTTCAGAGCTACCGGTTCTACAGAGGTGGACAGAACCGGTAGAAACCCACCCCTGGAACTAATCAAATAATACATAACAAAATACACCATTCTGTTGGATTTAAGTAATAAAAAATTATGTGAGGAAGTATATGTGCACATTTTAGGAGGCAAAATTCCTTTGGTTACAATCAGGGGTGGGCTTCAAAATTTTTAGCAAAGGGTTCTCTGCCCTGTTGCTGGGTGGGTGTGGTCATGGTGGGTGTGGCCTACTTGGCCTCCTGCACCATGGTGGGGGGTTGCCCTCTCCGGGCTCTGGAGACTTTCCTTGAGCCTCCGAGAGGGTGAAAACAGCCTCCCTGGGCTCTGGAAACTCTCTGGAAGCCGGAAACAGGCCCATTTCCAGCCTTCCCGAACTTCTGGGAGGCCCGTTTTTCACTCTCCCCAAGCTTCTGTGTGTGTCCTGCACTTACCTGCATCCAAAACCAGCCACATGGAGACTCCTGGGAGAGGCGCGGTGGGTGAGGCCAGCCAGGAGTGGGATTTGGGGGTTGTCCAAACTGCACAGAATCTTAGCTAGGGGCTTTCCTGAACCCTCAGCAGCCCACCCCTCATTATAGTGGAGGAGCAATGCTTGTAATGTATCTTTAAAATATCAAAATTATTGTATATAAGGACCAGAAACCTCAAACTGACTTTCTTGGAAAATACATTATGTTAAAAAAAATATAAAATATCTCTATGAATTTGTAAAGCTGGATAAGAAAAATTAAAATCATTTCCAAAAATATTTTTATTGAACATTGTAAAAGAAATTTAATGTGCCAGTATTAATGCTATAGTTTTTATTCAAGGGCATATATTATGGGAAACTGTTATTAAAGTATAATTCCTTCACGCATTATTTCCTTTTTGTATCCTCTTATCAGGGATGGGATTCAAATTTCTTAACAACCGGTTCTGTGGGCATGGCCTAATTTGTGGGTGCGGCTTGGTGGTCATGTGACTGGCTGGGCATGGCTTGTATGTAAATATGATAAATATTTATGTAAATATTGAATTTTTTATAAAAAAAGAGCAACTTTTACCCAAAATCAGGCAAAGCAGGCAGGAAGATTGAGTTGCTCGCAGAATCACAGATTCACTCAGAGATCTACCATTTTGCAATCTGCTACCTGAGTCTGCACTGAAAAATAAAAGCTTCAGTCCTAAGGAAGGTTCAGCTCTGCTTTTAGATTAGCTAGAAAGCAAGAAATCCAATGATTTCCTGTTTTCTAACTAATCTAAATCTCCCGGCACAGCAGAACAGCTGATGGTCAGGGGAAAGAAAAGGAAAAATAGCAACTTACCAAACGCAGGCAAGTTTGATGGCTCGCATTTCAGGTAAGGAGTGGGCGGGGAGGGACCAGCCAGTGGCACGATTTGCCGGTCTCCGAACTGGGCAGAATCATAACAACCGGTTCTATAGAACTGGTCCGACCAGGTAGAATCCCACCCCTGCCTTTTACCATGTGTGAAACCCAGTGCTACTGAATGCTTTCGAGACTTAATAATTTATTCTTTCACGTATATAAAAAGAAGACCTGTAGTTTTCCATTCATTGGTGGGAACATAGCAATAGCAGAGACTAGGTTCTCCAGGAAAGAAGACTTTATTGCAGCATGAAATGTTCATTTGTATTCAATAAATTTTATCCATTTCAATTTGATAAATTAATTCTAGAAGGTCTGGATTGCAAAGAGAAAGCTTTTAAGGACAATATCTCTTCTTAGAGACAAAAGAAAGTACATGAAATTTAAACTGAACTTAGCCAAAAAGATAGGGAATCAACTGTTTCCTGGTATCAGAGATCATGAACTCCCCTCATCTCAATCTGTGGAAAGAATAATTCTAGAAACCATGCTAGCCACAGGGACAGGTGGGTCACAAATTTAGTTTTGTTGGATCTTTCCTGGGGGAGTCACCTTCCAGATTACTTGAATTTGATCTGCTCTCTGACCTGGTAACCAGGATCATTTACAGTTTGTTTGTTTTTAAAAATCATTCATATGGGAGGATGTCTGACTAACTTCAGTTCAGCATTCAATACCATCATTCCAGACACTCTGCTAAGTAAATTAAACCAACTAGCGGTACCTGAACACACTTGTAAGTAGATCATAAGCTTCCTAACAGACAGGAAGCAGCAGGTGAAGCTAGGCGGAATCACATCCGATACCTGTACAATCAGCACAGGGGACCCCCAAGGCTGTGTGCTTTCTCCACTTCTCTTCTCCCTATATACCAATGACTGCATCTCAAACAATCCATCTGTTAAAATACTGAAGTTTGCTGATGACACAACAGTGATTGGTCTCATTCGAGACAACGATGAATCTGCATACAGACAGGAGGTTATACAACTTGGCTCGTGGTGTAACTGGAACAATCTGGAACTGAAGACACTCAAAACCATAGAAATGGTGGTAGACTTTAGAAGAAACCCTCCCATACTATCACCTCTTACAATACTGAACAACACAATATCAACAGTAGAGACCTTCAAATTTCTAGGTTCTACTATATCACATGCCCTAAAATGGACACCTAACATCAAAAACATCATCAAAAAAGCACAACAAAGAATGTTCTTTCTGCACCAACTCAGAAAGCTCAAACTGCCCAAGGAGCTGCTGATACAGTTCTACAGAGGAATTATTGAGTCTGTCATCTGCACCTCTATAACTGTCTGGTTTGGTTCTGCAATCCAACAGGACAGACACAGACTTTAGAGGATAATTAGGACTGCAGAAAAAACAATTACTACCCCCCTGCCTTCAATTGAGGACCTGTATACTGCACGAGTCAAAGAGAGGGCTGTGAAAATATTTACAGACCCCTCACATCTGGACATAACTGTTTCAACTCCTACCCTCAAAATGACGCTATAGAGCACTGCACACCAGAACAACTAGACACAAGAACATTTTTTCCCCAAAAGCCATCACTCTGCTAAACAAATAATTCCCTCAACACTGTTCAACTATTTACAAAGTGTACACTACTATTACTGTTAATCTTCTCATCACTCCTTATCACCCATCCCCTCCCACTTGTGATTGTAGGACTGTAACGTTGTTGCTTGTATCCGTACGATTTATATTGACTGTTTCCTAGTATGATTTGATTATTGATTGTACCCTATGACTATCATTAAGTGTTGTACGTTATGATTCTTGATTCTTAACGAATGCATCTTTTCTTTATGTATACTGAGAGTATTTACACCAAGACAAATTCCTTGTGTGTCCAATCACACTTGGCCAATAAAGTATTCTGTTCTGTTCTGTTCTGTTCTGTTCTTTTCTATTCTATTCTATTCTATTCTATTCTATTATTCTATTCTATTCTATTCTATTCTATTCTTCTATTCTATTCTATTCTATTCTATTCTATTCTATTCTATTCTATTCTTCTTCCTACCCTCTGTCGACCTACCAACCTATCTGCTGCTGTTTATGTGCATCCTAGTTCTTGTTAACTTTGCTCCAATGGCAGAGCAGCATGGTCTAGAACAATTTGCCATGGTCAATTTCCCGTGGGACAATTCAACATGAGACAATTCAAGAGAGGGACAACTTGAATTGCAGCGGGCCTTGCCTTGCTTTAGATTTGAACCTTCTCAAATTAACAGATTAACAGAGTTGGAAGAGACCTTGTAGGCCATCTAGTCCAGACCCCCACCCAAGCAGGAGACCCTACACCATTTCTGACAGATGACAGTCCAGTCTCTTCTTGAAAGCTTCCAGTGATGAAGCTCCCACAACTTCTGAAGGCAAGCTGTTCCACTGGTTGATTGCTCTCACTGTCAGAACATTTCTCCTTGTTTCCAGGTTGAATCTCTCCTTGTTCAATTTCCATCCATTATTCCTTGTCTGGCCTTCGGGTGCTTTGGAAAATAGCTTGACCCCTTTCTCTCTGTTGCAGCCCCTCAAATATGGGAACACTGCTATCATGTCTCCCCTCATCCTTCTCTTCACTAGACTAGCCATGCCTACTTCCTGTAACTGTTCTTCATATGTTTTATTCTCAAATCCCCTAATCATCCTTGTTGCTCTTCTCTGCACTTTTTCTAGAGTCTCAAGTTAGAAGTCCTAGAGAGTGGAATGAACAGTAATTCTACTTGTCCCTCTCTTGAATTATCCTACACTGAAAGGTTATGTAGTGAGTTGTACCATGGCAAGTTGGCCAGGGCAGGTTGTCCCGTAGTGAGTCGGTCGCAGTGAGTCGTCCCAGATTATTTAGGATGGAAATGCTATTTTCTTTACCTATTTGTCACCTAAAGTATCACCAGATTAATTGAATGATAAGATTTCAGGTTAAGTATCATCTTTTCATTTTCAAGTTCTTAGATTCAGAGAAGGGAGAAAAAGGTTCTTTTATGGTCAAGCTAAATCTAAACTGGTGCCATTCCTGCTTTATTAGAAGCACTGATAACATGTGTTCCAATATTTATGAGGTCTTTTTTTTATAAGAGAATGCAGTGCAAGAGCAGTTGAGAGTTGGGATAGTTCATCTCTGTAAGTCTCCCATAGTGATAGAGTTTGAAATGCTACTGGCAAGTGCGCAAGCTAACTATTGCTCTGCACGCATTCTCAATGGATGACAAGTAGTTAAGAATGTAATGGAAATACGGAACTCAACCTTGTTTTTTGAGATAACTGCAGCCAAGCAGCCAAATGAAGGATTGAATAAAAATACAGCTATTAAACAGCTGGACATAGTCCACGTTTGTGCCATTATTAAAAGAATATACTTTTATTGTTGCTGTTTTAAAAATTCTACAATACTTTTCCAATAGCTGAAAGTGATTCAGAAATATAATGAGGGATTATTTAAACTTAATTTTTTTAAGACATTGATGTAGAGTATTTCATCCAATAAATCCCCAAATGGCTATCAGCAGTAACCAATAATGTGCAAAAAAATTAATATTCATTGTCAATATGCTGACCCAACCTACTACACAAACCAAAACAAAGGGTGTATTCTATGAATCCTTACCCCCCAAAATAAGGAATTCATGTCAGAGAAGACACATCCAGAAAGGCCCTGAGCTTCGTCTATTAAGCTGTCAAAACCAGACATGGCCAGATCTGTCCAGTATATCCAGCTTGTTCTCTAATATACAAATGGTTCCTTAGAAACGCCACTCCCAACAATTGAGGGAGAAAATTCTTACATGACATCTAGAATCACAGAGGCAGCCAAAGCAATTAGCATAACATCAATAAAGCGTGGCCACTTATCTGCAATAATTGTGTTTTCATAGAAATCTTCCAAAGTATATATTTATTTGTTGTTGCTGCCTTTCTGATTCCAAGTGAGAGGTTGTTTTTTTCCCAGTGGGAAATTCCTGCAAGCCTTGTCTCCAAGTACTAAAGGGAATCACTACCCTAAACAACTTTCTTCCTTTGCAACAGTTTGTAATCATCCAGTCAAAATGTAAAACTTAAGAAATGTAAGGGTAACATTGCTCCAGCTTTTATATCATTTCTGCTAATAATGAAAGACTGAAGAAATTGGAAACAGGGCCAGCCAACTCAACAGTGTTAAAAGCAGGCTAATGATAGGGGTGAATAACAAAGAAGAGATGGTCAACCTATTTTCCAGAGCATCTGGAGGCAGTACAAGATGGGAACTAATAGACGCAATGGATTGAAACTAATCAAGGAGAGATACAACCAAGAAATAAGGAGAAATTTCTTGAAGTGAGAACAAGTAATCAGTGGAATAGCTTGCTTCCAGAAGTTGTGGCTGCTCCATCACTGGAAGTTTTTGAGATGAGACTTGACAGCCATTTGTTTGAAATGGTACATGGGCTTGGGCTTGAGCATGGGATTAAATTAGAAGACCTCCAAGGTCCCTTCCAACTCAGTTATTCTGTTCTGTTATCAAGCAGGGTAGCACAACTTCTCCAGCTACCTACATGCAAATATTTGCAACACTCTGACATTAACATAAATGCATCTTAAAGTTCAAATGTTCAAGTATGAATCAATCATCTCATTGACTCTACTTTCATTGGACAGAACACTGGAATTATTATCAATTTTCTACATAATACGGGGGAAAGAGTTGGAGTCTTATTTTAAAAAAATGAAAGGAAAGGAAGAAAATGAAACACAAAGGAAGGCCAGAATGAGTTTGCAAAAGCCTTTGCATTCCTGAACACTAATCTTTTCACTCACTTGTCAATAAATGTCCTTCCTGTCTGCATCACCATTCCTGGGGATCCATCTTGGAATGGGGGGTCCCGCAGAATTCTGTACCTCACAGGTTTGCAGTTTGAACAAAGGAGACTGTGTGGTGTGGAGATCAACTGTGCAGCATCTATCTCCATCTTCTCATCAAAGGTATAAATCTTTATGCCAGACACCTTTTTGGTAAGGTTCAGTTTCACAGTGAGGGGAATGTCACAGAATGTATCCATTGGTCCAAGATGTACAGAATCTTCCTGCTCTGTCAGGATCTCAATGTCTGACAGTGCTTTGAAATTGGTGGAGAAATTTGTGGTCCATATCAGTAAAGAGTCAGAATACACAGGATATAGGAAGGAGAGTTCCAAAATGCAACCAAGAGGCTTAAGGCAAGGAGTGGTCATGCTCACATTAAACAAATTAAATTCAGGACTCCAGGCCTGCAAACTGGTTTCACAGGGTTGAGTTACATCAGGAGGACCTAAAAAGACAAAAAGAATGGAAGAGTTTTCTGGATAAGCAAAGTAAAGTGAAATTTTAAAAGCAGGGTCATAAGGAGAGGAGATTTGGAAATAAGGCCTACCTTCTCTTAATGAGTCAATTTTTTAAACTCACTTCAAATTTTATTTCTGATGTCAACATATAAATAAATTTGACTGGAGTATGGCATTATAATTTCTCATATAATATACTATTCCTGAAAAATTAGCATTCTACAAAGATGGGTAGAACAGAAAACTGAATAATAGTAATAGCAATAGCACTTAGGCTTATATACTGCTTCATAGTGCTATACAATCCTCTCTAAGTAGTTTACAGAGTCAGCATATTGTCCCGAACAATCTGGGTCCTTATTTTACTGATCTCAGAAGGATGGAAGGCTGAGTCAACCTTGAGCCAGTCAGAATCAAACTCCTTGCAGTTGGCAGAATTAGCCTGCAATACTACATTCTAACCACTGCGCCATCACAACTTTAATTGCTAAGAGCCCCCAGGGGAAAAAAAAAAAGAATAAAATGTTGTTTTTGAAGATGCATTTCCCCTGCCTTTCAAGAGGAAAATATAACACGTCTCTGTATTAACTTGTAAAAAATCTTCCCAATATGAAAGGACATGAATCTCTCAGATTTTAGACTTACTTCAGGACAAATGCTGCATATTAGAAATGAATTTTCAGGTTTCTGGAAGTCACACTCAACAACAACAATATAATAATAAACTAATTTTATATTACTTTTTTCCTTTGGCAAAATTTCCAACTTACATACAAAATGGATAAATTATGCTTGTGGAATCTTTGTATGCCGATTTAGAGTTTGCTTTTTGCACTGCTAACAACTGATATTTTGCTGCTCAATTTCATGGGAACAACCTAGGGTCATCTGGCATCCCTGATAATTCTCTTGTTGAAGTGTTCAGTATTGGAATATTTTGAGGGAACCAAATTAATCTCCAATACTGAACAATTCAACAAAAAAATAATCAGGGAAGCCATCGAAATAGAGAAACACCCCCATAACATGAATAAACGGGATGATACCTCCCGCCTACCAGACATCTGGAAACTAGCCCTTATCAACAAACAAGTCCCAGCCACAACAACCAACACTGGACTCAAAACAACACATAGCCATAGACTCAAACCCAAACCCACCCCATAGACGAAAGGCAACAACCGTCCAGAAACCAGACCACGGCCGCATCACCAGCTGCCACACACCCCAACTCCCAAACCAAGCAAACAGACACACGCCATGAACACATAGCCAGGCCTCAAACTCGGAGCCAAATCAAAACCTGGAATGTCACATCACAGCCACCCACTCAGGATATCACATCACAGAACTCAGGAGGCTATACCACAAAACCTCAGGATGTTATAACACAGCCAACAACCCAGGAGATTATAGCAGAAGACCCAGGATGTCCAAACAATAGAACTCAGAAGGTCATCACACAGCCCATTACCCAGGTTGTTACAACACAGGAGGCTGATAGACACACAGCCAATACCTCAGCCACACATGTTCTTACGAAAAAGCCAGCCAATCTGCAAACACCAACTCCATCAACCAATCAAAAAATGACAACACAGCCAACCTCCCCACCAGTATTTATAGAGAGACGGCAGCTCCGATCACACTTTGCTCGCACAAGCACAAAGCCGAAAGCACCAGCCTAAAGATGGCAAGGGGGACCTCCTTGAAATGTCGCCAAGATACTCTCAATCTTACACGGGAAAAGAGCAAACATGCCAAGAACTGCATATATATATATATATATTCTGGTTATATATACTCTGTGTGTGTGTGTGTGTGTGTACTTTTTCTTCTTCTTCTAATTGTGTCCAATTCTGAGTTTGCCCAGACAAGTCTCTGCAGTTTTCTTGGCAAGGTCTTTCCAGAAGCAGTTTGCCACTGCTCTTTCCTGAGGTTAAGAGTGAGGGACTGGTCCAAATATCTTCATGCACAAAGCAGGAATAGATCTCACAATATCCCAGTTTCTAGCCTTAACCACTCAACCAAATTGGCTCTCTATCTACATATATATACACACCCCAAAAGACAGCCAGATTTTTTTCTTCCTTTGTCATAATGCAGAAAACGGGGGGCAAGAAAGAGTTCAAAGAAGTTACAGCTCTCTAGTTTACCTTCTTTTCAAGTGAAATAATTGTAATTCTTTTTGGTTCACAAAAATATCATTGGCTCCATCTCTCTTCTAAGGACAGTAAAACAGGGCAGAATATTATGTGATCTACAGTATATCTCCCCACCAGCATCACTAAACTTTACTGAAAACACAAGAAAATAGAACTTCAGGTAGCATTGGGACAGAAAGCCTGGTGGGCACATAAGGATTCAAATATATTGTCCTAGACCAGGGGTGTCAAACTCGTGGCATCACGATAGCATCAGGTGACATATTGGGACTTTTTCCCCCTTTGCTAAACTGGGTGGGGGCAGGACCAGCACGTGACACATCCAGCCTGTGGGCCACGAGTTTGACCCCCTGTCCTAGACTATGTTGATTACTGTTGATTTCCCCACAATTCTCCTGACAAATGGGTTTAAAGAACAGGTCACAAGAGCATCTTACTTCCTGGTCTTGCCCAAGCAATTTCCATTCTGCAATACGGGCACAACAATGTTCACATGTTTTTGGCAGCATGTAAACACTGATGAAATAATGGCTGCATTCACATAAAAGATTTTGTTTGCTTTTGATTTTTAACCTTATCATGTAGAGTTATGTGCAAGGAATCCATTCAATGAATCATGCTTTTAAATCTTTAGTTTTACGTTAAGAATACAGGGAGTCCCTGACTTACAATTCTCCATTCAGTGACTGTTCGAAGTCCCTTATGACCATTTTTCACATTTGCTACCTTTGCAGGATCTCCATGATCAAAATCAAAATTATAACAGTTGCATTGTTCCAGGGTCATTTGTAATCTTCCCAGTTGACTTCCAACAAGTAAAGTCAATGGGGAAAGCCAGATTCCCTTAGAGATGCCATGATTCACTTAACTGCAGTTATTTCCTTATTAACAACTGTGGCAAAAAAGGTTGTAAAATGAGGTGCAATTCACTTAACAATTTCCTCGCTTAGCAATGGAAATTGGCGGCTCAATTGTGGCTGTATGTCAAGGACTGCCTGTATAGTCAATATACCAGCATGAATAACTTATTTATTATCCTGTAAATGTAGTATGGGATTTCCTTCTTTTTTATTTTTATAATCTTCCCTTTTCTCTCTCTCAATACCTACATATCAACTCACCTTTACAACAGTTTAAACAATCTATAGACTGGGGCCAGAAAGAGAAATTTTACTCAGAATGTTAAGTCAGTTGAAAGCTTGCACTGTTTCTTCTAAAGCTATACAGCAGCATATTTAACTTACATGATATTGTACTGATTCATATTGTTATTTCATTTTGTTTTTGAAGAGAAAGAGAAAAAGAAACTTCATTAGATCTCTTCCTCTGAATTCACTTCTCAAAGCTACCAAACAGCTGGAGACACTCAAAAGACTTTGCACACACTCCATTGAAGCTCTTCAAGTTTACTTATTGGCCTGTGTATTTTCTGACAGAATACACAGCAGCAGCGATGGGTTAGCCAGTCATATCTGATAATCCCTTTGTCATAGAAAAAAAGATCCAACCTTTACCTACTGCCTCCTTTGGAGTCCAATAGCCAGAAGAGTCACAGATTAGAGGAGAAGAGGCTTCATGTACATACTGGCTGAAAGTTCCATCTTCAGCACAATTTCCGCAGAGGTTCCCTGACTCTCTAAAAACAGAAAGGAGGGGAGAGAAGGAAGAGAAATGAATGTGTTCATTCCCTTTTCTTTCAGACATTATTTTCAGAATTCTACCTAACTTCTTTTAAATTATTGAGTTCCATGCCGCCATCTCAATGTATAACTTCCTACTTATATTTTCATGATTTCCTAATACAAGATATAGACAAAGTATGAGCATCCTACGTATGTGCCAATATTGTGTCTTATTTCTTAGTTGACGGGATGCAAGAAACTTTAAGGTAGTCTTAGATCAGGAACTTTAATTTTCATAAATTAGTATGGGATACAACTGGCTTTGGTGGCACTTCTGTCATATTGAGGAAATATGTCAAACTTATTTATCATCATTCACAGGGAATACTGAATGTAGCACAGCATGACTAAGACTGGCAATATAATGTACCCCTTCCATCTCTTATTAAAAGTGTTATTTGAAAGATTCAACTGACAAAAGCTATAATTAATAGCAGAGATAAATGTGAATTGGCCATCTGGTGTCGACCAGGATATCTTGAAGATTGCAGCTTAACAAAGAAGAGGAATAAATGACAAAGAGCATGAACTATGTCCAGGGTTTCAATCTTATATGCTACCCAGAATTATTTGTGTGAGATGAGCAAACAAGGAATAGGGGAAAAAATAAAAAAGAATATATTGTCAACTTAAGAGAAAAGGGATGCAATGTAAATATAAATCTGACTGAATTTGAACTAATCATATAAAGTGTAACTAAACAATGCATGCAGAGTAATGAATATCTAGGTCAAAGGCCTCCAAACTTAGAACTTTAAGACATGTAGACTTAAAGAAGTCTTCAAGTTGCCAAGTTTGGGGACCCCCGATCTAGGTTAACTATGAATGAAAGACATGAAATATATATATCAGAAAATATGAATTGGTATTACTGAGACTGTTATCAGGGTGCATCTAAAAGTAGAAATCATTTGTTTGTTGACAGATATATGTAAAGAGCAAGCACAATTCTGAATGAGAATTGTGCAACCTTATGAATGAGTAAGATTCAGAGAGAAAATTACTCTAATATATAGCATTTTAGGTAAGAAAGAAATGAAAGAGTACAGAAGTACAGAAAAAGAGTAATTGGGCCATTTGGAGACTTAGGAATGAAGGAGAACTGAGATTATTTCATAAAAGCTTACAAAAAGTGTTGTCTTAAGTATGCTGTTTATGTTTATATGTGCACATGCCATAGCACTGTATATAAATCTAAAAGAGCAATGGATATGTTTAGGATGAAGAGCTGAGAGAATCAGTGGATATGAAGGTAATGTGGAAAAGACCACTTTCAGGTAGAGATAAAAGTGTCAACTTTGGAATCCTTATTAAAAGCTGCCAAACAGCTGCGGAGGATGGAACGGGGCTGCTGTTGTTTAAGTAGCTTTCAGTAGACAAAATAGATATATAAAACTTTCAAGGTGATTCTCTATGGCACAGCAAGAATTGTAGCTGAAGGGTGATTGGTTCATGTGATTTATGATGTGAAAGAAAAGGGGTAGGTGTAAGTTGAGTCTTGTGGGAAGTCTGGGAGGAAACTTTAGTTTCGGAATTCCACAGACGTGCCAAGTTTCTGTTTTAATAAAGCACTTTGAGATTATGGTTGTCTTGGAGCTACTGATTGGAACGGGTAATTTCTGGAACCATGACAAAAAGAGGATTATTTTATCGAACATGGAAATAAAGGAAGTAGAACATTTACAGAAAGAAAAAGTGGAAGTCCTATATGAAGAAATGTAAGATTAGGGGAAAACTGTGGAATACACTTGGAACAGGGGGAAAATAATTACGTTGCACAGCGTTGCAGACAGAGGAGGTATGTTAATGGCACATATGGCAAAGAATAATACTTGGTGGAATGATGAAACAAAAGAGCTGTGAATGGAAAAATGCACGTAAGACAATGTGATGACCCAGAGTATATCAGAAATATAACAAAACTCAAAACATAACTAAAAGTCCTTTAATGCCTTCAACTTGGCTTCACTGTTTAATTGTTCACAGTGGAGGAGTAAACTATTTTCAAAATAACATTTCAAAGGAAAGAAACACAGTTCAAATTCAAAGAGCTGATAACGAAGCAAAAACCAAAAACAAACCGCACTGAATAAAGTTCCACAACAGACCAGGATAGAAAATTGCCAACTTCAGGAAGATAACCAGGACAGTCCATTGGAAGAATGCCAACCAAGATAAACCTTCTTTAGGAATAAAACACTAATTTGTCTCCAGCGTCTGTTATCATGCAGGCCAAACTCTTATGCAAATCTCACACCTGCAACCCATGAAGAGGATCATGGCCCTCTCCTCCCGAGTAGACCGCATTTTACCCCGATCCTCTCCTCCCTGCATGCCCTAGGATGGATAGGGGGTGGGCCTGGGTCCTCCTCTGACTGCTCAGCCGGCCTCTGCCCTTCCCCAGCCTCCTCCACCACCTCTGGAGCCACACTTCCACTCCCTGTTGGCTGTCCCTCCTCTTCCTCAGAGTCAGTCTCCACCAGGGGCATGACAGACAATGATAAAATGAATGATAAAAAATTTCAGAGAAACAAACAATAACATGTGCATAAAAATAAAAAGATAACTGTAAAACGAATACCTATCAAGAAGAAAGAGAAGTTAAGCAAGAGAAGAATGAAAATAAAAATGTTAAAAACTTAAAAACTGAGGGAACACTGGGAAGCACTTCTTAAATCTGTTTGAGAATGATAGTGTTGTATCAAAAATGGAAGTAAAAGGAAAGCTATAGTTACATCCCCCCCAAAAAAAATTGAAAGAAGGTCATAAATCTGTTACAATATGGAAAAAAATGGTAAGGATACAGATGCAAATTTCTAACTGGAGAAATATTAGATATAGATTTGGTTTGCTTATGAAATAGTAGCACAAATTGTTTAACATATACAATAAATGAAAATTGCATCTGTATCTGACAACTGGAAGAACATTTCTATACAGAAAGAGTGCATACAAAGACTTCAAGAGACTAGCTTATTGAATATGCTGAGACGGATATTTGGAAGAGATGATATAATTGAAAAAATAAAGGGACAGCAATAATAAGCAATATTTGAGAGGTGTAGTGTGATTTTATGCTGGGCAGGAGGTATGCAGTGTGGTCTCTCTAATCTTCAACAGTCACTATGAAATGTACAAATGTGAAAATAAAAGTTTATTGTAAATTCTGAGGATTTAAAGGAATCATACAATAAAACGAACTGGCAAGGGTTATGGAATGTTTTGTAGGAATGTGAAAGTGAAAATTGATTGCTGAATGTGATAAAAGAGATACATGAAAAAAGCATGAGTGAAAATAAATGGAATGCTTATTGAATAGTTCAGTAATAAGCAGGGATTAAGACAAGGAAGTGTGATCTTTTAAGTGGTACACGGACCTAGTGGAAGCAATGTTGATTTACAAAGAGAAAAAAATAGAGAAAAGTGTTAATAGTGATGGTATCAGTTTATACTAGTATTCACTATTTTTCTTTTTCTTGTCCATATGTTCTCCCCTTAAATTACTTGGCTCTTATTCTTCTTCTGTGATCTGCATACTTTTTGCTTACCCCTAAAGAGATGGCATGCAAGTATATATGTAGCAAGTGTGACATAGCAGAAAGATTTAAATTTTTTTTCTTTTTTACAGAAGGGATCCTGTTTCTCTTGTTCTGCTGCCACCTGCTGAATGCATCTCAGTTCAATAAGAAAGGAAATCAAAGCAACCCGAGATCTTCCACTTTCACCCAAACAAACACATGCACTCTCAAACTTTCAAAATGCTGAAGAAATACTCCCTCATTTAGTAAAGCCAGCAAGTAAAACACCTGCCATTCCTTGAGCTAAAGAATATGGCCGGGAGTTCAGACAGGGTTTCTGTCTACATGTAGCTTGTGATTTACATTTTCCTTGGACGTAATTCAAATAACATTACCATTTTTCCAAGAAAAAACTAATAAAAGAACTTTGATGGCTGCTAGAAACAAAAGCTAAGCAGCCAACCAAGAACTTGATGGCTAGAAAAGCTACTATTTATCCATCCTCCTCAATTAAAAAAGTGCTGCTATCTAAATATATTATATATTAAATATATATATATATATATAACAAATATATATATAACATACATACATACATACATACATACATACATACATATATATAAAACATATTATACCAAAACTGAAAAGATGGGGCAGTAGACTAGATTTCACAATATATTAAAGAATAAACAGACTGTTTCAGGGGATAGGATCAGAACCAGAGGTGGTATTCAGCAGGTTCTGACCAGTTCTGGAGAACCGGTAGCAGAAATTTTGAATAGTTCGGAGAACTGGCAAATATCACCTCTGACTGGAGATTTTACAGTATTCTTCCCCTGCCATGCCCACCAAGCCACACCCAAAGAACCAGTAGTAAAAAAAATTGAATCCCACCACTGACCAGAACCACTAGGTTAAATATATGAGGATACTGGATCAGGCTACGTATCAGGAAGAATTTCATGTCTGTATAAACTGTCACCCAGTAGAATAGGCTGCCATATGTATTTCCTTCACTAGAAGTCTTCAAACATGGCCTAGATTGTCATTTGACACAGATGTACTACCAGATCCAAGACCAAGCAAAAGATGGATTAGATCAGGGGTCTTCAAACTTGACAGCTTTAAGACTTGTGGACTTCAACTCCCAGAATTCCTCCTCCAGTCATGTTAGCTCAGGAATTCTCAGGAATGCGCAAATTGTAAAATCACCGAACCGGCAGTTACACCGGTCGGATCCCACCCGTTTATATGCCACACATCCCAAGGCCTGCTGATGATCTCCAATCATCCATCTTCCTACTTTTATATATATATAGGGATTTAAGATGTCAAACAATTAGCAAAACATTTGCCTTGGGGGGGGAGGGATCTAAAACTGCACTCCAAAATAAAAGCATCAAAAAGCAACCAACCAAATAAGTGCATTCACATTCAATTCCGTGACAGTTTTCTGGCTGAAGGATGGCCATAGTGCATTGTGTTTGTCCTGCTTATTTCTAAATTCTGAATTCATACCTGCTGTTATACATACATCTCCAGCATAGCTGTATGTCTCCTCTCTATACAGAAAGATCAAAATCCGTTCACGTTTGGAATAACAGCTGTATAAATAAGTGTCTGTTCCCCTAACTCCCCTCATATATAAAGTCCAGAAAAGATTTTGCCAACTGGCAAACAACTGAGAGAAATTGCCAAATCATCTTCATCACCTTCTTTGCCTCCTTAAATTCCTCAGTAGAAGGCCAATGCAGCTTTCCCAAGGTACACATGTTCGTGTAAACAACTTCCCATTGAAAGAACTACGTGCGCACAGTGATGAAAGGGGACAACAGAAGGAACACGGCAAATCACGGTCAAAACAATGTTGACAAAATCAGTCTGCTGGGGTATTGCTGGGTCAAGAATCTTGCCTAATCCAAGATTCTTAACCTGGTCCCCTCCAAATATCTTGAAGTGCAATTCTCATCACCTTAGGTCAAGTTAGCTAAGCATTCTAGGAATTCTACATAAAAAACCACCAAGACTGGAAACATTGGTTTTAACGTGTATTTGTTTTTCCAGCAGAAATTGCTATATATATTCTGTAACCTCTGAAAAACAACAGCACATCACTAATTCTGCCTCCAATACAGCAGGAAACACTAAAACATTGCCCCTCCTTAATTTTAAGGGGAACATTTTCAATCTGAGTAAACATCCAATTTACTATTACATCCCAAGATAAACTGTGATTTGAAGTAGCTTGCTTTTAAGCTTAAGCAAAGTTAAATGTAACTCATAACTTTGATTTATTAAAAAGAAAGTGAACAATTCAACTATTCTCATCACAGCACAGAAGAGAGATGTTATAATGTGAATAATAGTAAAGCTTTAAATCTCAATAATAGTAAAACATAAAGAGGCTTTTGGAATATATTACTAGGAGGATTAGGAAGAAAGAAATTGGCACAAAAGGGCTCAGTGGTGACAGTAGCAACATCTGGATTTCTATGGATCATGTAAGTACCACTATTTTAGATTTTCAGCTTCGTTTTATGTTAAATGTTCTGGGACAGTGTGCATACATAATAATTGCAATTATTAATCCTAATGATGTACCAACAGGATTTCTCAACATCTTGAAGTACCAGGACCACCTTCAGATCACCCTTCTAGTTGATGGAGAAGAACTTTCCCTGGGAAAACAGTTGAAGCACCTCAATTCCTGTTTAAATTTTCTTTTTTCCTATCACCACAATCCACGTTGTAGAGGCCATGAGAAATGGCAGAGGAAAAATAGTTGGATAGATAACTAAAGGAAAGAGAACATGGCAGGAAATTCATAACTAATTCATACTTCAGCAGTTCAGCTGTTCAAAAGTGAATATAAAGACATTGGAGAAATTTCTGGAACGTCGACTATCGCAGAGTACAGATTATTAATCCTTCACTATATAATTCCCTGTACTGAGTTTCAAACCACAGTGGTTTGATTAACTGTACACTGGGCAGCAAAGCCTTTTTTTAAAAAATGTAATCCTGGTCATTGCTGGAGCAGGGGTAAATGATTGGCATCTGGAGTAGTAAAGATTTGCCCCACCCTCACATACACACTTTATATGAAGTTCTAGGAAAATATATATTTCCTCCACAATTGTTGTCCTGATGTGGTTGCATGCCATATCAGGTTAATAGATTATTACATTTGACCCAACAATTAGGGCTATCAGTTAAAATTCTTGAATCTATTCAAAGAAAGAAAGAAAACCAAATCGGACTTTTTGAGTCTAAGTCAAGGATGGGCCCTCCAGTTGTTTTGGAATTCAGCTCATTTCACATCAAGTTTAGTTGCAATCCAAAAACCCCAGATGATAGGAGGCATCCTTAAAGTTATAAATTGTGCAAAAAGAGATGACAGGCAGTTTAAATTTAAACAAGATGGGAGAGACATAAGTACTGAAATTTATAACTAAACTCACATCAAGAAATTATTTTCTAAGAGGGATGTTTTTCTGAAGCATCCCCAACAGCCATAGCAATAGAACCAATATGTTATTTTCCTTTAAAAGTTGAAATCCAAGGTTGGGCCCATGGACTGTAACTGCTGCAGCCAAAAAAGAAGAGAAAAGGCTGCTGTGTGTAAACCAAGAATAAGGAGAAGAAAGGGTTGCCAGGCTCAGTCATTGGGTCTTGGAATCTCCATATTAAATCTGCTGGGAAAATTCAGACAGGTTTCTCTCTCGCCCTCTTCCCCCCCCTCCTCCATCCTTCCCTCTGTCCCTCTGTTTGGTGTGTGTGTGTGTGTGTGTGTGTGTGTGTGTGGTTTTCTAAGATTCCTATCTTTCCTCCACCTACCACTACTCACTTACCTTTCATAAAGCATTCCACTAATGGGAGGTAGCCAGTGTATGGTGAGCATATCCTGCTCCTGACCAAGCACCATGGGCGGCAAAGGGACAGGGGTGGGTTTTCTGCTCTGAGTCCACTGCTGGTATACCAGATCAAGATAGCAATGCATTCGTGCCACTTGGTTTGGAGTAAAACTGTCTGTGCAATTGTCATCTGTGGGAGTAAGAAAAGCAGCTCACTAAACAATTGGAAAATGAACACTGGATTCAGATGAGGAGTTGGGGCAAGAAATCAAAGTAAATTCCTCTCATGGCCAGAGAAGACATTTTATTTTGAAAACCTGGAATAAAATTAGATCCTATAACATCCGTTTTGCCCAGCACTATCATATTTATTGCAATTTTGATCTTTTTTTGTAAAGCTAGAGCAAAGTGCTTTTATTGTGATTATATCCATTGCTTCTTGGTCTTGGAACATTTTTTTTTCTTTCATTAGCTTGAATATCCATCCTCTCAACTCTTTCTAGGTCATTTTAGAGTGTTTACATTCTCCTGCCTCTAAAATTCTGTCTGCTCATGTTATTCCTTCCATTTGCCAAAAGATGGCACTCCATCTGTAGTATTTAATCATATATCCTCTGGTGAGTGATCAATAGTGTTGCCTTCCTTGCTACTGAACACTACAGACAACAGTGAGGCCTAGGGAGGAAGAAAACTTAGCATCAATAATGAATGAATTGTCAGAAATAATGAATGAGTGATCTCCAAGGTTCTGAACAGAGGAAATACAGTGTTCAAACACTGTCAATAGACCCCAGTCTGAAACCCAACAGGCTGCCTTGCCAAGATGCCCCCAAACTGAGAATACTGACACTGGATTCAATAAAATATCGTCTCTTGTAGCAAGTGCTAACAATACACAGCCTCTTTCAGAATTCAATGTTCCAGCCTCTTTCAGAATTCAATCTTCCTATAAAGGAGTCCCTGCTGATTTTACTCAGCTAGTTGTTGCTGACTATGGAGGTCATCTCCGTTACAAGGCCATTGCATTAGCGCCATCTAAAGACATTTCCTCAGTCATGTGACAAGCATGACAACACAGAGCACTGTTACTTTAATATCTTCAATCTTCTATATAGTGCTGCAAATTTTTTTATCAATTTTGCAATGTTACCCAAAGGATGCCTTTCCTGTTTTACTAATACAAAAGAGACAGACAAGGTTCAGAACAAGCCCTTCATCAAGCCCCAACATTTGTTGGGTAAAGTTGATAATCTGAGATTTAACAAGTGAGAGGTCCTGCTTTGCAGAGCTTCATCTTGAATGGTTAAATGTCTCTTTCTTTCTTACAAAGGGGACCACCCTACTACTAATGGTTCTAATGAAAAACATGAGTTTTTATAGAATCTAATGTTCTCATTGCATTCTCGAAGGCCAATATTTCAAACCTCTGTTTTTAGCCCTTAACATTTTATTATTTTCAGACCATAGTCTTTGTATACTCACCTGTCTATCCAAGGATCTTCATATGAACCCTTTCTTCATATGAGCTTCTGCCAGATGAGGCAAAATGGGTGGCCCCAAAAGAGCTCTTTTTCATAAAAGACTCTACTGCTGGAATGCACCTGTATTACGGCTTTTTCAGTATTACATCAAATATTTATTTTTGGACATATTTCAGCATGTTGAATTAGAGACTGCTTTGTTGTTTTAAGTATCTACTATCTACTGAATCTATCTATCTATCTATCTATCTATCTATCTATCTATCTATCTTATTTCTATCAATCAGTGCTATTATTAAGGCATGGAAAGAGACCATATTTTCTAGTTCCCTTAGCAGTGCTATGAGTAAGTCTATGTGATGGAATCTGTTCGTTCTAGTTTAATCCCCAATTGTCCCAACCCTACGTCTTCCCTACAGTTAGGATTATAAAATCTTTGCAGACATAGTCCTTTCTTTGGTTTTGACAATTATAGACAAAAAACCCCACAATCCCTAATTAGTGTTTATATACACACATGTATTTAAAAATGTCATCCAGTTTCACTCAGTTGATAAGCACCATGATTTCAAGAGACAGGAAACTTCATAAAAACGGATTATTCCAAAATACCTTCTCTGAAATATTAATGCTGTTCTTTATTGGCTGTATTATTATGCCTTTAATAATAATCCAATATAACAAGATAAAACAGTTAAGTGCTGGGATTGGTTTCTACTAGCATGCTTTGTTGTAGCTGAAAGCACAGAAATTGAGCAATTAAAATTTACAGCAAATTTAGATGAAATGAACTACTTTTTGGAGGCTGAATGGAGTTCATCTTCTAAGTGCTACAGACACTTCTGTCATCCCTTATAAGGATTTAAAAAAAAAAATTAGGAGGATTCCTGTTATTGAGGAGCATGTAACTGGATTTCAGTTAGTAGACTGCTTTGAAGAGCTAGACAGAATAATCCATTGGGCATCTTATATTCCTGATATACTTCTAGTACCATGAATCCTTGGCAGTCTATACTTGCACGAGTTGATAGCTGCAAAGATGGTACATTTTCGCAATGGAAATGAAATTCCTTTAATGCATATTACTTATGTAGGATTCTAGCCCCGCCCCCGCCCCTCCCCGGAACTCAGAAAATATTTCAAACAGGCAAATCTCCCAACAGAACGTATAGGATTAATGTAGCACAGTTCTATCACACAGGTGGACAAGTCTTCACTGTTGCTATCAGTACATTCCCCCATTCATTGTTGTTCTGAACAGTAAATGCAGAAGGGGGTGTGGGGTGCTAGAAGTTGCCCCTCTATTTTCCAACCAGTTCCATTCATTAGAACTAAAACTGAAGATGCTCACATTTTTAAACACAAGAACTCATTCTTATTTTATTTTACTTCTATTCTGCCTTTATTACTGTTTAAATAACTCCAGATGGTAGACATACTTAGCACTCCTTCTGTCTCCTATTTTCTGCACAATAATTATGTGAGGTAAGTTGGACTGAGAAAAAGGGACTGGCCCAAAGTTACCCAACCAGCTTTCATGCCTAAGGTGGGACTAGAACTCACAGTCTTCTAGTTTCTAACCATTAGACCAAACTTATCACCTATAATGCTTAGTGAAATCAGGGCAGCTAGGATTTTGCCATTCAAATTCTAGCTATTCTGTTTCATGGCTCTCAGCATCTCTGGACTGTACATGCCAGTTGATACCCTGAACCTGATAAAGGAATAGTGGTTTTTTCCTGCCTTACCTGTGTAGCTCATATAATTGCTGAAGGGAGTTCCAGAGAAGGAAATATGGCCACAGGTGTCATTGATAGGATCTGGATCCCGACAGGCTTTGCTTTTGAGTGTAGGTGCAGTGTCGGCACAGAGATCTCCAGTTTCCATGGATGGTGTTGTCTCCCTGCATGGATCATCACAGGAGTCTTTTTCATCCACACCCTTAAAGACATGATAGAGTCCCAAGACGTGTCCTACTTCATGGATCATAGTATTTGTATGACCTGGCATCCCATAGTAAGCTGGATTTAGAACTACTCCACCTGAAATGGGAAGTGAACTAAATGTGATTCGCAGAGAATATGGGTAAACAATCTTGAATTCTGAGATAAATTGATGCTCAAACACCATGGAAAGTAAGCTCTACTTCTGGGAAAGGGCTCTTTATGATCCACCTGTTCATGTATTAGCATTCTAAATAGATAAACAAGTGGGAAAGCTGTTTGAAATAAAGGCCATCCAAAGTGAGCACCTGATAACTAAACATGTCTCCATAGAGAGTGGAGATGACAACTGCAGCAGAGACCGGTTCTTTAGACCCCCTCTGGAACTTCTTCAGAACCTCTCCAGACAAGGAGAGGACTGGAGATCACTCACATGTTCCTTGCAGGTAGACTACAAAATAGCAACTTCAACAGTCTGAGTACCAAGAGACAAAAGGATTAATAATCAAGCTCACAATTGCAGTGATATCTTTTAAAGGACATTAGATTTCCTAACCTTACTTCTAATCACTTTTGGAAATTGCTTATTTGAATATCTTAAGGCTTTGGAAAGGCACCTGGTGAATGTAATTTTATTCCTGAACAAAATAAAAAATAATCATAAATTTAAGAACTTAAAGAGTTTGAAATAAATGGCAAAAGGCTAAACAAGATTTAGAACTAAAATGTTATAAACAAATTAAGTATGCAGACAAATTTGGAATATTGAAATTTGTACTATAAGATTTTTGAATCAACTATACAAAATAAATATCTTTTTGTGAGAACCAGAATTATTTTGATTACTGCAAGTCATGAAGAGATAAGCGATCTTACTATTTAAATTAGAAACTAAAGTCCAGGTCAAAAAGAAAAAAGCTTTTGCCTTTAGGATTGCAATTTACAAAATGACACAAAATACAAAATTTGAAACATTAAAGATTTTTGAAGAATGGGGAAGAAAATCTTTAATAAATCTAAAAATTCAGGCATGTGCTAACATCTTTCAAGTGTAAGTTAGCTATTTGAGAAGACTCCCCTGAAACCATTTCTTTATCAACTTATAAGTAAGCTTCTCCAATTTACAACCAGAACCCTAGACAAAGATGAATCCAATTTGCAATCTTTCCCAGTCAATGAATATACATCTCAGCATAAACTGCAACTTTGGACTATATTTTCTTATTGGGGATATCCAAAGTATATTAGGAGCAGAACGGAAGATACTAACATAACTGTCAGAGAGAAAGAGCAAAATAGTATGTCTTGTCTCAGATAATAAGGAGACGTTTAAATCTTAACTGATTGTTTTATAAAATCTGTGACTTTTAGTTGATTGATTGATTTTTTGTAACTATTATTTTTTCCCTTTCTTTTTTTTAACTTTGATGAACTTTTATTACATTAAAAACATAAAAATATATCACTTAATAATAGCAATTTGTAGTGCTTATCTTATAACAATAATTCATGCATTATTTACAGATATTAATTTATATGTAATTACATTCTTATTTTATCTATTATTTATATTTGATAACTACCTATCTTTAATCTATCTCCATTCTATCCAGTTATACTATTGTTCCCACACCTTATAAAATATTGAAGCCTCTTTATCTTTTAAACTCAGCGTTAACTTGTCCATTTCTGCACAGTTCATAACTTTTTGTACAACAAATTTCTCTGAGGGTGTACATGGCTGTTTCCAACATTGGGCAAAGGCAATCCTGGCAGCAGTTAATATGTGTAATATTAAGTATTTTATGCTCTTTACATATATTTTTTTTTTGAAGATCCCCAATAGGAAGAGTCCCGGTTCTAGATCTGGTTGTTCGTTGGTGATTTCTTTTAGCCAATCTTTGATTTTAAGCCAGTATTTTCGAACCTCTGGGCAAGACCACCACATATGGTAGTATGTTCCCTTTTTTTTTTTTTTTGCATTTCCAGCATATGGGACTCATTTTGGGGTACATTTTCGCTAATCTTGAAAGGGGTAAGTGCCACCTATAGAACATTTTATATGCATTTTCTTTATATGCTGCTGATTTTGTTAATTTGTGATTTCTATTCCATATGGTCTCCCAGTCTGATAATTTTATACTGTGTTCAATATATTTGACCCCATGCAATCATGCATCCTTTCACTACTTCTTCCTCCAATTCTACTTCCAGAAGGTATTTGTAAATTTTAGTGATTTTTTTTTATCTGGACCTAATAAAATCTTGTCTAATTGTTGTGGTTTCAGGTATATTCCGTGATCCTTTGTGTCTTTTTTATATTGGCTTTGTATTTGGAGATAAGGCCACCAGTCTACTCGTAGCCCTTGTTCTTGGAGATCTTGTATTGTTTTTAAGTTTCTATGACTATCTAATAGGTCTTTATATTTTAACATTTTGTTCAAATCTAAATTGTTTGGGTGAGTTGTCGCTTCCATTGTGGACAGCCATATTGGGATTTTTATGTAATGTTTCTTTTTAACTTTGATCCAGTTATTGATTAGCAAATCTCTAATCAAGTGTCTATGGAAATATTGTTGTTTGGTGGGTCCTGTATCCCACAGACAGGCGTGCCATCCTCTCTGCAGGTCGTGACCTTCTATAGTTAATATTCTTTTGTTCTTTAAATTGATCCAATCCTTTAACCAAACTAATGTTGCTGCACTATAATACAGTTCCCAGTTTGGCAATCCAAAACCTTCTCTGCTCTTTATATCTTGTAATAGTTTCATTTTTATTCTAGGTTTTTTACCCTGCCAAATAAATTTTGCTATCGTTTTATTAAAATTATTGAAAAAGGTCTTTTGTAATTTAACTAGAATGGTTTGGAACAGATATAGGAATTTTGGTAATATAGACATTTTTAGGCTGCTATTCTTCCTAACAATGACAATTGCATTTTGGTCCATAGTTCTAAGTCTTTTTTTGTTTGTTGTAGTAGCTTATTTTAGTTATTCTCCTTTATCGCCTTACAGTGTGCTGTCAACCATATACCCAAATATTTGATTTTTTCTTGTTGTTTGAAGTCTGAACACTCTTTCTAGTTCTATTGTTTGTAGTTCTGTTAATTTTTTTGCTAGAAGTTTAATTTTCTGTCCATTGATTTTCAATCCTGCCATGGCTCCATATCTTTCTAATTCCTTAATTAATGTTTGTCCTTTCTCTATTGGGTCTTCAATAATAAAAGCCATATCGACTGCAAATGCTTGCAGTTTGTATTCTTCGTTTCTAGTTTTCAATCCTTTTATTTCTGAATTTTGCCTAACTCGTTCTAATAGTACTTCTAATGACAATATAAAGAGCAGAGGATATAGGGGACAACCTTGTCAAACTCCTTTCTCTATATTTAAAGTTTGGGTGTTTTCCCCATTAATTATAATATTGGCTTTTTGTACCGAGTAAATTGCTGTTATAATATTCTCAAATTTGGTGCCGAAATTCATATCATAAATTTGCTGAATCATGAATTGCCAATTAAGGTTATCAAATACTTTTTGGGCATCCAAGAAAACAAAGGTTACTTGTTTCTCTGGGTGGGCTTCATAATATTCTAGAATGTCTATTATTATTCTTAAATTATTCCTGATTTGTCTGTTTGGGAGGAATCCATTTTGGTCTGAGTGTATATAATCATTCAGAATTTTCGTTAGTCTATTAGCAATAATAGTAGTGAATATTTTGTAGTCTACATCCAACAAAGAAATTGGACTATAGTTTTGTATCAATCTAGCATCTGTATCCCCCTTCGGGATTAGTGAAATTAGTGACTCCCTCCATGTGTTCGGCATCTTAGCAGATGTTAATATCCCGTTATATAAGTCCACCATTTTTAGTCCTACTTGTTTTTTCCCCTTTCTCTGTCTCTCAAAAAAGTGAGTTTATAGTAAAGTAGCATATTAAATATGGGCTTAGAATCTCTAAATACAGGAGAAAGAACAGTGAGTATGTTTACTGAGGTCACAAGATATCTTAAAACTGACTATTCTCATCTTTACGTCCAAATGAAAAAAATACGACAGAGTAAGGCCTGTAAAATTTATCATGACAATGTTGGACTTTGGAATTCCCTCTTTCTTTATGGTCACTAGCTTGCTTTCAAAATGGGCAAATAAAGATTCTCGTTTGAGAATCCTCTCCGTTCTTATGAAAGTTTTGGTTAGCTGATGAAAGCCCAACTGATTATCTCAATGAAAGTCTGTGAAAAAGGCCTTTGTGCTTGGATACAAATCACTCCTTTCCCACTCTTGTATCTGTTGTGGCCTCTTCCATGCACTGTTGCTCTTTACATGTGGGCTTGATATGAATCTGCTTTCACAAATCTTTAAGCCATTAGCAAGTTGGCTAATTCTTACAAAGGCCAGGACTTTCACATCAAATATGAAAGATAAGTACTGTGAAATGAATTCACAAAAGAGATCACAACCCGAGTAAATATTAATCCTCCTTTTCCAAAGGCCAATGCTTTGGCAACTGTTTAGGGACAGAGAATTTACCACACAGGAACTTAGTCCTTCATAAAATGCTCAGCAGGCTTCAAGTATTCAAGCACCATAGAAGACTTTGATGCCTCTGACAACTTGGAACTGACCAAGAAAGCTGAAATGTCAATGCTGATTATCACAAGACCTGACATTGTGACCCTAAAATCTCAACTTTTCTTAAGCTTTGTCGTTGTCTAAGCTTTGTTGTTAGTATAATGGGAATGGGCAATCATGAAGCATATGTTGGGAGAAAGTGAAGCTGCTTAAATTTTCTGCAAGATCGCACACACTGGTCAATAGATAGTGCAGAAGTTAAAAGCTCCATGTGGAATATGGCCCTAAGCTGAAACAATAAAGCATGATGTGTAGCTAGAAGGTACAACTAAAGTTCTTGGGTCATAGCCAACGTTTTTATTATTTTCTTGGCCAAGAAGGTGAGAACCAGATGTATATTTTTACAGGCAAATAGACCTCTCTAAGATGACCAAGCTCCATACAATATTTATAATATTTATAAATCTTTATAAGATTTGTTCTGGGATGAGAGGAGAGAGATCAATAAAAGTATGCATTGTATAA